TCAGGCTGTCAACATTTCCAAGGAAAGCCTTTGGAATATCTGAAAGTCATTAGCCAAGTTATGCTCAGCAAACACGACACTCACTGATTAGCAGGAAGCTGAAATACTCAGGCCAGTAAAATTTACTGTCGTGCTATAGAAGACTCTTTTAAAGCTGAAAACAGCGTGTGATATTTACAACAGCAACATTGAATAGAGGGGCTCTTCCTTTTGTTCCAAATTACATTCCAAATTACGCTGATTATTATGTGCGGTGTTATAATAAACGCAATAATTCTGCCATTTCTATCAAAAATATTACATAGGAAACAAAAGAAACGCTAAGCTGAAGCTGTGATCCTGTATTACACCCTCACGCTGCACAGCTGATGCCTCTGCCGCATCAGAAAGTTTCGGCACGTTGCCTTGAACTTGTGCACCGTGGTTACAGCGACAGAAAAAATAGCACACGTAAAATCTGATAGGACTGCAGCCTATCCCTGTTGCCATTACTGTTGCTTCAAGAGCTCTAAATAGCTTTCAATTCCAGCTTTTGATTATTCTCCACAAATTGAATGCAGCACAGTACGTGAATGGCTGGTCTCAAACAAATCATCTGAACATACAGTTTGACAAGCACCTCATGTTTGTCTTACTTAAAGCCCTGAAACAACTACTAACATTCCCAGTATTTTCAAGTATACGAATTTTAAAACCCAAACTACAAATGCTTTATCTTTGCCAATTCAGGCATGAGCTGCTTGTTTCTGCATGTGTGCTCATATATCTGTAAAGGAACATGGGGCTTTTGGCACTCTCAGGCATTTTATTTATACATTTTTCAGGCAGGGTTTAAGAGGCTGCTTCTCAAACTAGTCACCATTAGTGTGCCCCGTGTCCCCCATTGACTTCATTAGGAGCTGTGAGCACAGAGGATTTCTGAGGGTGCTAAAAATGTGAAATGGGGTATTGAGCAAAGAGGAAACCAGACCAGTAAAGAAAGCTCCCTGGAACAATCAGCTTTTGATATTAAAACCCTGGTGTACTGTGTGTAGTGTCTAACATGTTTACAGGTAAAACGTGTATGTTTTCTAAAGCATATGCATTTCTTGCAGCCCAGTTTTCAGGAACAGCAAAAAACCTTGCTTTTCAATGCAAATCTAAAAAATCCCGGGAAAAGGTCGTGTACTTCTGTTGACATATTCACAATATCCTTAAAGTATATATTATCAATTCAGTAATGCTATTCATACAATGAAGACCTTGGGAGCATCTGGTATTAAAATCTTTGCCAAAATCTGAAGGCAGCACCCTTGTTTGCAAGAGCCCAGGGGCAGACAGTTGCAAATCAGAACCTTCCTACTCTTCCATGCATAGTTTAATTGTGGTCTTAAAATATTTGTGAAAGGGGGTCCTTTGTGCTTTGCCACAATCACACCAAAAAAACATTCATTCTCTCTTTGAAGGCTTCCAGGCACACCATGTGCACACTGTGGCTTCGGATAGCAGAAAGCAGCATTCAAGGGAGATAAATCAACAGCTCAGGAGAAACAAAGAAAAGAGAAAGGAGAGTTTTCTAGATGAATGCTCCAACAGGGTCCTGCCTGCTGCAGTTACCCATCTCTATAGGTCAGGTTTTATGCTACTACCTGTCTCTTTTATGCTTGCCCTGTAAAATCAGTGTCAGTCACAAGGGATTCATGAAGTCTTTGACTCTTCTCCTTTTTAAAGGTCAGGGCTCCACTTTTTAATTGGAAAAGCAAAAGGTGAATGAGCCTGACCATGAACGGTGCAGTCCTTATCGTGTGCCTTAAGATGCTCAAAGGCTGCCACAATATGTCAGGGCTCTTTGGAGGTGTCCTAGGGGGAGGGTGTGGTGGTGATGGTGGCATTACAGATTTATGCAGTTTCTTGGGAAAAGGAAACATTGCTTGAGCCTAAACAATGCAATGGAATCGCAGGACTTGACAATTACTGTACCTGGAGCTGGAAGTGCAGCCACCTATGCAAGTTCAAACTGATCATACAGGTGTCATCCAAATATATGCTTAATGACTTTTTTGATAAATGGATACATTTTTCTTTTCTCTTTATCAGAACTATGCCTTTTAATTCCCCCATGATAAAAAAAAAATAAAACAAAACAAAACAAAACAAACTAACTAAAATGGGTTAGAACTGTGAAGCTGCAGGGGTTTAGGTTTGTTTTGTTTCACATCTCCATAGAAGTGGAGAGAGAGGGGAAAGAAGACAGACTGAACATGTTTTGATTTTGGAAAGCTGGGCTATTTTTCTCTTTTTGTTTTCTAGGGGCAATAGAAGTATCCCTGGTCCTGTTCCAAAGCTGCAAAATGTTTTGTTTACCTCCAATACTTATTGCAATATATCTAATGGATGACCAGCTTTGTTTCCGATGTTTCAAAGACCACTTCAGTACTTCTAGTAAATACATTTTTAGCCCGATCTTGTTATATTTGTGTATTCCTACAGTGATCTTCAGCACAGATTCTGAACCAAAATGTAAATTTCTGAATAACTTTGTTATTCCTAATAATTTTCATGATTATTTAGGAGAAAGTATAAAAAAGCAGAGAGGTACTTATTTTTCTTTGATTTTCTTTTTCTTAAACAGTGAATACAGCAACTGCACAGTTTTTTACCAAAGCTCCCGTGCACTACCACCTGTTCCATCTCTGCCCATGATGTTCACACTGGAATTTGGACAGGTTATGTCCACTAGCTTATTTTGCCAAAACCAGGCTTAGCATCCTCCACCGAACACATATCTATATTTCTCATGCCTTCCTTTTTTGCTTCTCTAATCTCTCCACTAAAGTCTCTGCTTTGGTAAACTTCACCTGTCAAAGCACTTTTCTAGTTTATAGCCCACATTTCTTCAAACTGTCATTGCTATCTTTAGTGTGAGATCCTTTCCTGGTATCTTTATAATAACTGTCTCCAAAGTTATTGTGTGATATGTTTTTTACCATATCTACTATTTCTTCCATAATGCTTTGAATTGAAATATAAACAAGCACTGGAACAAAGGCTTAGCTCTAGCATTTTTCAGCCACCTTTCTGTCTGCATAAGATCATAATCACTGTAATATTTTTCATTTAATTTTTTATCTGGATTTATCCAATATGTTATTTCCTGTACAAAATAAATTTTGAGGATCTATGTTCTGTAAGAAACCTGCATAATTCACCATTAATGTTTTTTTGCTTTTATCCTTTTGTTTATCATATATATATGTTTGAATGCAACGTACCATGATGATATGAATGGCACATAATTTCCAAAAACAATTATGTAGTGTTCTGTTTCTTACTGAAGTCTCTTTTCCTCCAAAGATTGCAGAGCTTCACAGTTAGAAAACCTTTAATTTATTCCTATTTTCATTTTCTATATTCTATTTCATTCACGAAATTTCTTTAGAAGGACATAAACTACCACTAAAACAACAAAAAATCCCAACTTGATTGTGTGCAGATGAAAGACCTTGTTACATACCTATATCCTGATTTAGACTAATGGTGGACTAATTTTAGTGTTCTCTATTTTATTCAGCATTGTAACACTCTGTCTGACCCTTTCTCTAATGCCTTGGTGTTTCACCTGCATTGAATGACTTCTGAGTGTAAAGGTGATATATCACCATTTCCTGTGATGGCTATTTAAAAGAGATTCTGCTTTTATTACCTATTCCCACCATAGGAATCATAGCGCTCCTTACCTCTTGCTATGTCTATTCCATTTTCATTTAACTCAAGATGCTTCTTATTTCCCATTTTTCATCTTGTTATTAAGGTATTTGTTAGCAGAAGCACCTATCTTGGTTCACCTTCTGGTTTCATGAGAGAATAAAAAACACATCTTCTGTCACAAAGATTTTCCCTGAGAAGAAGGCTGTGGATTTCTCAATTGCCTATGACCTCCTTGCATGTGTCCATTTACTGGTCTATAACGGGGGGATAATGATGCTCACCGAGGGCTTAACTACATATTGTTGGAAAAGTATTCAGGAGATTTGGGGAAAACCTGACTTAGGACTTTTCTTCTTCTTCTGGTTTTTTTTGCCAGGTACCTGAGTTCCCCCTGTTAGCTAATTTTGTACTGGACCTGAAACAATTTTCTCTTGTGTTCCTTCTCCTACTGAAATAAAGCATAAGGGTCTTGATAGACACATCTTTGTTCTTCCAATGCAATGGTACAGCACTGTCAGGACTTCCAAGACTTTTGCCAACAGTAGGGTAACTAAATTTCCTCATTAAAATGAGGTCCTATGAATATAAAGTCACCCAGCTCTCCCAGGGGAACCTGTCTATCCTCTCTCTGACAGACCATCCCACCAGATCGCTCCCTTTTCACCCCATTTCATGAAACATTACCACTTAGTTTGTTACCCATCAGTATTTCATGTGCATCACAGGTAGTTTCACCTGATGGTTCATGGGACAGTTAGCCTGACTGAGAGCATCCTGAAGCAAAGGCTTGTTGTGGATGACAGCACTCCACGTTACCCTCCCCGATGACAGGGGACACTGGGGATGTTGCTGAGAACACCCAGGAGCACAATAAAGAAGCAGAAGAACGCAGGTAGAAAGCAAGAGGGTTATCCAGCACAAAGAGGCAGTACACACCATCCTAAGCCAAGTTGCCTGGCACTTCTCCATGGCATCTCGCTCATCCTTCCTACGTGCTCCTGGCCTGCTTTCTCTTTTTCCGTTTTTGCCCATAGGAAGCATGGTCTCTGCAAGGCAAAACCTGCTCCTCTTCCCTCTGCAAAGGACCCCACATCCCTTACACACCCCTCTGCCTTAAAAAAGATGAAGGAGCCAAAAGTGTCACACATGTAAGCAAAGGGTAATATTAGCACATGTTCTGTTGCAGGGACTCCCCGTATTGCGGAAGTGAAGGTTGGAAATCAGCCGCCACCTGAGCAGCCCTTCCCAGCACCCCGCTCCCAGCCCCAGTGCCCTGGCTGCCCACACCCCAGGGCGGTGATGGCAGCACTCACAGCACGCAGAGGCAGTAGGCTCCGGGGATGGTCTCGCTGTCCCGCAGCAGGTAGCTGCCGTCCACGCCCGCCTCCAGCAGCAGCTTCTCCCCAGCCTCCCGCGTGATGCGCCCGTGGTAGATGGGCAGCGTGTCCATGCCGGGGCCGTCTCCCACCGCAGGGAGCTCTCCCTGTGCACGGTGCTGCCTCCAACTGCGCCTCAGCCGTGTGCTCCCCTCGGCCTCTCTGTCTTGGTGGCAGATGTAAACAGGATGTGTTCACACCTCTGAAGCCTCTGCAAGGGGCGAGACAGCACTGAGGGAAGAGTGAGGAACGAACACAGCATTTTTGTGGGTTTTTTTTTCCTTTGCCCCTTTCCGTTTTCCTTTTGCATAGGCTGTAGCATCCTCGCAGCATCACAGCTCTCCCACAGAGGTGTCATTTCACAGCCACTCTCAGCCATGTGGCTCCACTCGGCAGGGATGGGACTGGTGAAGCACACGATGGTCACAGGGCCAAGGGCCGCCCTGGTTGGGGATGGCAGGGTAGGACCAGGGCACCACTGTCAGTGGCTGCACCAGGCACTTTTTTCCTCTGGCCAAGGGAATTATTATCCCAAGCAGGGATTATTTCTTAACCTCCTGTTTTTAAAATCCCCAGGGGTGAGATAGTAGAGGAAGCGAGCTGACCTTGCTGTCGCTGTCCCACCAGGCACCAAGAGCCTTCTTGCCCCACCAGGAGTCCCTCAGTGAGGGACTGAGAAAGCTGCAGAAACCTCAGCTGAAGAGGGACTGAAAACTCTTTTCTATTTCAATACACAGGTGTTCACTACCCTCTTTACATGAACTTTGGGGCTCTGACATCCTGCTTCATTTTTTAAACCAGTTGTTAAAGTATTTGCACATAAAGTAGCTGCTTCCTACTGCAAACGTGATTAATGTGGATGGTGACGAGCTGTAAAGCTGGCGCCTATTTCTTCTCGTTTTCCAAACTACCTGTACTCTTGGGGATTCATCTAACTTTCTCATTTCTTAACCTATTCTCAATAATAACAACTGATTTCAGAAAAAGTGTGTGTGTAGTTAGCTGGAGAGGAAAACCAACCAGAATCATTCAGTTCTGCAGGTCTCATTGCCCACCTCATTAGATTTCAACTAAAGAAAATCATAAAACTTTTGACTGTGAGATCCTCTCCTAATCATGGAGTCACCACATTACCCAGCCAACCTGCATATCAGGCACTTGGATGAAGCAGTATCTCTTACTTTGAAAGAGCTGTTAATACCCAATTTTGCTAGTGTGGGTAAGAAATCCATAAAACTACAGCTACTGAACCCCAGCTCCAGGCTTCCATACAAATCCCTTTATGGTCACATTGACTAGGGGAAATGTAGCTTTTAAGAAGTAATGGAAATGCTGGATTTGGGAACAAGGAGCAGTAACTGAGGCACTAAGCAGGATAAACCAAACCAAAGGATATAGGTGCCTCCTGGGCAAGAAAGAAACCATAACATGCTAACACAGCTCTGTACCACACTATCAAGGCTGGAGAAATCCACCCTTCCCCCAGACAAGCCATCTTCACTGCAGCTTGGCATCCAGTTGTTCTCACACTGACTGCCCAGGTTTCTATCCATTTAATCTTATGTATCTAAAGTATTGTCTGCCATCCTGTTTCATACTGCTGCATCTGCACAGTGGGGTCTAGAAGGCAAACTACAAAACAGAGCAGCAGGCTCAGAGCATAAGGGAAACGAGAGAATCGAGGATCAAGGGGGTGCTGCTCCTGTTGGGACTTGTCCCCATTGCCTTCCACAGAAAATGAGGATTTCTTTAAGCACCAAGCCTTGCTCCATGGGACACTGGACACTTCCTTTGTTTTGTTTGGACAGTATTCAATATATTCTGGACAACACAGTTCTGTGCCTTCCCTAAATCAGTCCAGCTAGCAGTCCCTGCAGTATATTCTAAAAAATTTATCCAAAAAAACACATGAAGGAAAGGAAGCATTGAAAAGTGCTCTGAAATATTTGGTCATGAGAAACAGGCTTAGAAAGACAGACCTCTTTGGTCATCAAGTCTACTTCTCTGCTATCTTAGCCAAACACATATAATCCCTTTCAGAAACTTATTTAAGTCCATCTTAAAAGTAGCTTGGGGTTTGTTGTTATTGTCATTGTTTCCACTGTTCTCACTGGAAAGCAATTGCAGAACATTGCTATTCTGTTGTTTGAAAACCTGATTCCAATTTCCACCCTAAATTTATTCATGACCAATTTATGCTCATTTGTTCTTGTGCCAATGTTGTCCTTCAGTTTAAATAGATGTTTTTTCTTCCTAGAGCTTATTCCCATGCAGCACTTATAGTGGCCTCCCTCAGCATGCATTTTGCCAAACTCCTCTCACACTACCTTCCCATGGTCACTCTAATCATTATTTTCCATAGCTTCCCAAAAGTGAAGTGAATCATTTTGTGAATAGTGTGCACTGTTCTGTCTGATTTTTAACGTGTGCCTCATGCATCATTACAGGAGTTTCATTATCCTGGTGAAAATACCTTGCTTTCTATGGTCTATATTTTCCCTTCCTTAGTCTTTTCTTACCTATGAACATGCAGGTATAGTAGAAATCTGGTTAAGAAGACCCAGAAGAACGGACTTGCAGTCAAACCCTTCTGAATTTCATCCATTTTATCCTATTCTCAAGGTTACTCAAGTTCTTCCTAAATGAGAGTGTTATTCATCTCTGTACTGACAGTGCCTCCCTCCCTTATGCCACTGGTAAATTCCATTAGCACACACTTATTTTTTTATGGGATCATCATTAATAAGAAATGTTAAATAATATCAGGCCCAAGACTGATGCTTAGGAAGCCCTACTGCCTTCCCTCAGTCCTGATCTCCACCTACTTCTTGCATTCTTATTCACTTTTCAATTTCTGTACTAATCTCCCCTTTTAGCTAATAATTTCCCACATGGCACTGTACCAAATGCTGTACTTAAGTTCAGATAATTATCTCTAAGCACTTCCTTTGTCTAGAAAAATCAATTATGATGATATTTCAGGCACCGGAACTTGTAGAAGTACCTGAGAAGTGGAAGAAGGGGAGACAAAGTGAAATTACCGTAAGTTTTTTGAACACCTGCAAAGATTTGGGCTTTCATTTTCAGATGAGCTGCTTCATTCATCCCTAGCAATGACATTTTCATACATTGTTGAATTTTATAACAATTCTGAATATGATAACACTAATGCAAGAGCATCATTAAAATTCTTGGATATTGTTGTTTGACTCAAAATAAGAATGACCTTCAGGACCTTTGTGAAATTAATGCTACTGGAGAACTGTTACAGGAAGGCCTTGTATAAAGGGCTATAAAGCAAGATAAAAAGCAAAATACTTGCATTGGTAGTTTTGCTGATACAACAGTATCACCATAAATGCCATTTGTGTAGAACTACCGAAAGAGCAGCTTCAAAATCAAGAGCTTTTGCGAAGTTTTTGCAAAAATATTTAGTTGGTAAAATGCCACATTAAAATGCAGCTAAATCTGAATATGATTTTCATTATTTCATGCCACTTTCATTTTTAGTGTAATCTAACAAAATATTCATAACTGTACAGAATAGTATCTGCAGAAAGAGATTTGCTATTCACATAAGAATGTGGCTGAGATTCAGTAAAACACTGGTTATTTTAGAGTATCTGCAGAGTCACCATTATCATGTTTCCTTTTTGAGCTGAAATGAAAGAGTCTGGGAAAAGCAGGCTACAATTAGCAAATGTGCAAGTAGCTGCAAGGTTCTGAGCATCAATGCAGAAGGAGAATCCAAATAAATTTTGGCTTAAAGTTCACGTATTAGCATATATTTGTACAGCCTTCTTGTTAGCCATGATATTCTGTGTATGCTGCTTGGGGAAAAAAGGAGAAAAAATGGAAGATCATAATAATAAGTGAAGTTGGGATGTAGGTGTGGATTCCAGCTTTGTCCTCCAGGACAAACACATTGTTCAGATTGAGAAGGGCTAACCAGTGTTTAGCCTGGAGAAAAGGAGGACCTTATTGCTCTCTACAACTACCTGAAAGGAGGCTGTAGGGAGGTGGCTGTCAGTCTCTTCTCTCAGGTAACAAGTGACAGGACAAGAGGAATGGCCTCAACTTGCACCAGGGGAGGTTTAGATTAGATATTAGGAAAAGTTTTTTCATGGAAAGCATTGGAACATACTGCCCAGGGAAGTGGTGGAGTCACCGTGGAAGTGTTCAAAAAATGTGCAGACATGACACACATATTTTAATGGTGAATGTGGTGGTGCTCGGTTGATGGTTGGACTTGATGATCTTAAAAATCTTTTCCAACCTTAACAATTCTAGGATTCTATAAAAACTGCTCAAATCTTTGGGTAGTTGTGAGGGTGGTTGCAAATCCAGGCTTTTGCCCCTTTCAAATTAAATGTATAGCCTAGGGAAAACCTCCTTACCTCAGAATAGTTGGTCCTCAAGGTCCACATTAACTACTTTGAGAATTTCTGTGCAGTGCTCAGAACTTGAAAAAACAAACTTTCTCATCACCTGGGAATTGGGTGTTTGGTGTCATCAATCAGAATTGATTCTGGGGAAGAACAGAGAATACAAAAGGTTATGGACCTTTGTGAATGAAACTCTCTGTACTCATCAACATTTGTCTTCTGAGCACAGGTAAATGCCCACATACCAGAAATGACGACATTTCGCTGAACTTTAAAAATATTATTTCCTCTGTGCAATCTCACTGCTTACCTGTGCAGTTGTTTTGAATGCTTTGTGAGTGAGATAACACTAAAATTGAAAGCTACACATTATGGTGAAATTCATATTAAAAGTTATCTGTGTTTTATTGCGGTTTCTTTTGCCCGTTAATAGTTCATACTTCTTCCTTCTCCAGAAGCAGCGCAACACCAGGTTATTTTGCAGATGCATGTGCATTGACAAGCAGAGACGCTCTTTGTGATAATATCAGCATAAGCAAAACTACTCATAGAAGCAGGAACATTTTTATTTTTTGCTATTACTCTTTCAACAACCCTTTCCCGTAAAATTCGGCAATGGGCGGGTAGTCATCAGCATTAGGCACCCAGATGCTTTGAAGCCCAGGACCCACATCTTTGTGATTTAACTGAATCAACTTCAAAGTCAACAGGTCTAAATCTCATCAGGATACTCTCAGGGTGGAGCAAATGTCCACGCTGGAGTTCTTCCTGGATCCGTTCCTGTGCCAGCAAGTCTGGAGTTCA